GTTTGTTGAGGAGTACGGGGATAATGGAAGTAGATGACCGTCTTCCTTGACACTGTCTGGCCAGTGAATGTGGGAGAGGAGGAGGGATGGATCTCTCCGCCCCACTGCCTCCTCATTAGAATGACAAAGGAGTGATGAGTCAGTCTAATGCAGAAAAGTAGCAAAGAGGAGTAAATGAGAAAACAGAAAACGACGCACAAAATGTAGAACAGAGCCATAATAAGACAAGCCAATGTTCCATAAAATGACAATATCTCTGTGTAAAAGAACCTGCAGATCAGGTTCTGCTTTTTTCTGTCTTATCGCTTAAACCAGGATTAGACAGGGAGTCACTCCTCATGGCCTCACATGTCAAAACACTCAACTTTACAACAGAAATAACTAGACAATTACATAAAATTAACTATAAGTTAAAGGGACTAAAACAGTGGGAAGCATTGTAGGACATGTCCATAATACCTCTCCTAGGAGGCCTCCAGGACACATCATTATCAGGTGCCTGAACCACCTCAGTTGGCTCCTTTTGCTGTAGTCCCTCTCGAATGATTGAGCTTTTCCCCCCCGTCTCTAAGTGAGAGCCCAGCCACTCTTCAAAGAAACTTCTTTCTGCAGCCTCAATCTTTCAGTCACTACCCAAAGCTCATGACCATAAGTGATGGTTAATTTATGTGTTAGTTTGATTAGCAGCAACAGTAACCATTAACAAAGTATGACTGCCATCGATGACCAAAAAGCTATCACTTGGTCAGATGTTGGAGCATCTGCAAAAAGTTAGCTAAAAATGTTTTTCTGTCATGACAAGCAAGAATTAAAGTTAGACAAAATATTATAAAGGACCTCGGTACATGAGCTTGTTGTGTTCTCATTAAAGCCTGCAACACGAGCACTGCAAATGCAATAGTGAATAGAGGATTTCTCTGTAGTGCATAGCTGCGTTTCATAGGGGCTAGAATGGCCTTGGTACATTGTTCCAACTCTGATTACAGTTTGTTTTGTAGAGTTTTTTCCTTCCTTTCATTGACGTCAACAGCCAAGAGCCTTCGTGCTACCACGGTAACAAGTGCTGCGCTACCGCATCAAGCTCAAATTAGGAGCTAAGGAGTGATTAGGAGTTTCAGTAACTTGCACCTCCACATGAGGCCCTGTCATTCACACTGCTCTGAAAATACACCGTGAGCCCTTCACCCCAGCTGGTTTCCTAGGATTGTAAGGGAAACGGCTTGTAATCACTTTGGTATTGATTAAGCTTCTTACATGTACACTGACAAGAAGCTATTAAAAAGGCAAGAAACCACGTAACTGTCGCTGTTTAACATTAAAACAGTTTCCACATCCGTGCAGAATTTTTGGGTAAAAGGATGTTTCACCCTTTTTTTTGTTCGGCTCCTTTTTGCCTGTTAAACAGCTGATGTTTGAAGCACCGCTGGACCATGTTCAAACTCCAGAGTTAAGCTTAATCAAATTATTGAGAGCCACGTCGCCTCTGCTGTCAGAAAATCACTAATAAGTGGTCTCCTTTAACACACTGGGCCTCTTCTGAACCATTCTTGTGATTTGAAACCTTGAGAATTTCTCCTTTGAAACTGTTGAAAGCAAATACGTGCTCAGGATAGGAGATGGCAGAACAGGGTGGGAGGTGGGACCAACATTTGATTTGGAGAGTACTTTGAAGTCAGAACGGAGAGTCATTGCTGCTATAAAAGCTATGAGAGTGTGTGTGCGGACATCTGTGCACCGACTGAACAGTTTCTTTCTCCCCTTCCTCTCCTTTTATATCCCCGATTCAAAGTGTAAAAGAAGTTGAGCCGTTCAGTCTTAAATTGAAATCGAGTGTGTGCTTTAATCTCGCGGGCCACAGCAGGCTGTTGCATTAAGGTTACATGAGGATCAGAGCTGCCAAACGAGCACCATTCGTCTTGTAATAAAAGATAAAGCCGCTGTAATTACAGCACAAAGAGGTTGCATCTATCACTAATGTTCTGTCTGGGTGTTTTTTTTTTTCTTTTAAACTTTTAGATAATGTAATAGAAGGTGATCAAGTATCAGAAAGTAGAGTCAAAGCTGGAATATTTCATCATGCTTAATTAGCTAAAAAAAAGTAATAAAATTAGTCTGAAACTGGTAAAAAAGTAAACAAAAAAAACTGCCCATCACAGTTTCCCACATCTAAAGGCGACATGTTTCAAATTACTAACTGATTCCACATGTAGGAAGCAAGTAAGGTTTATTTATATTGTGTTTTCCAGTATAAAATGACATACACCAGTTAAAAGAGTATAAATGGATCAAAGTAAATAAAAGAAAGCCTGCACAGGTGGGTTTTAAGCTTCTTTTGAAAAGTGCCAGCAGTCTCCACAAATCTCCAGTCCAACGGAAGCAAAGTCCACATCCTGGGAGCCGGAAATTCAAAAGCACCGTCTCCTTTTGTCTTTGATCTGGACCCAGGTGCCACCAACAAACATCAGTCAGCTGGCCTAGTAGTGGTGTATGGATGTAAATGTTAACAGCAATATAAAGAGGAATGTGACCAATGAAGAGCTCTGAAAGTGGTCACCAAAATCTTAAACTGAAAACAACTTTACAATCCCCAAAGATTTTCGCTGATTACTTCATTTGCTTCTGACTGAAAAACGCTCAGATGATTTAGTTGGTTTGCTGTTTTGTTCTTCTTTCCCTCTGCAACTTTAATTAATGAAAACACTGAAAATATGGTGCGATCGATCAATCACTGCCATCTCCTAAGCTCACATCCTCTGAGCCTCTCATCTCACAATCGGTGTAGTTACTAGAAGATGGCCCACACTCGAGCTACATTCCCCACATAACTGGAGACAAATCCACTTTGTATTTAGGCTCAAAGTTCATATTGTATTTCATGAGAGTATATTTTAATTACAAGAATTGTATCCACATTTCTCTCATCTGTGATAAAACCCAAGCTCTCAGTGGAAATAATAATCCATCGTTTTTGTTTTTGTTGTAGTTTTTTTATATAGTCTAAAATTCAACCCAGTTTATAAACAAAACGGTGCCAAAATACAGGAAAAAAAAAGATACAACTGAATACATAAAAGCAGAGAGCCCACTGATGAAAGCAACACAGTGTTGATCTGGCATTTTTAATACTTTTGTATGGTATTATATTCTGCCAGACCAAAGACGACTGTTTGGCAGATTTATACATTCATAAACGAGTCAGTTAAACTTATGGGATATTGTTGTTAATCACTCTCAAGCTGCTTTGGTGTTAATGAAATGAACAACATTGTGCAGCAACAATGAGACAACACTCGAACCAGGAATGGTTTTAAAGGTGGCGGCCGCTGATGTTTTTTTTCTTCCTCATCTTTTTTGACTAGTTTTGACTAATTCTATAGTTTTACATTTGGCTAGGGTTAGTGTCATTACTGGGAGCATCACGCAATACCTGGACCCTACAGAGGTTGTGCAACTCCTCCAGGATGGCACATCAATATGTGTCATTGCTAGACGGTTTGCTGTGTCTCCTAACAGTCTCAAGAGCATGGAGGAGATTCCAAGAGACAAACAGGTACCCTAGGAGAACTGGACAGGGCCGTAGAAAATCCTTAACGCATCAGCAGGACCAGTATCTGCCCCTTTGTGCAAGAGGAACAGGATGAGCACTGCCAGAGCTACAAAACGTGGAAAACATTACCCTGCCTGCAACATCGTTCATTAGGAATGTTTTGGTGGTGGATCAGTGATGGTCTGGAAAGACATATCCACAGAGGGATATCGAGACCTCTACAGGTTAGCCAGCGGCACCCTGACTGCCATTAGGTACTGGTACACTGGTGCAGTGGGCCATGGGTTCCTCCTGGTTCATGTCAATGATCAGCCTCATGTGGTGAGGGTATGCAGGCAGTTCCTGGAGGATGAAGGTATTAATGCTACTGACTGGCCCACACACGCTTGCCTGACCTAAATCCAATAGAACACCTCTGGGATGTTATGTTTCGGACCACCTGCAAAATGGACTAACCTGCCACATCATTTTATCACTTTACATACCTGTCTTTGAATCTGTAGGGTGATCATTTTCGTTTCCATCAAACAATGTGTCACCCTTTCATTCACCTTACACTCCATATAAGTGTAGATATGCAGCATGATTTATTTTATTTTCAATATTGAGATCTGATGTGTTTTCAGAGTTCGTTTAAGTTTTTCAAGCAGTATATTTAATTTGAGTCCACTCTTTTCCAGGGTAATTAAAATGAACTTGTATATGACATGAGGACAAAATATACCACAAAACAAAAAAGGATTCAGTCTCAGATGTAGTCGGGCTTCTTTTCATGTGTGCCTAGTGTTTTAGAGCCAGATGTCATGCTTGATACTTGCAGTGACTGCACATTCAGATGCTGATAGAAATCTGTCCACCCTGTCTCTTAAGCTGTTACCCTCGTGGTGTTTGACTGATTCTAGTTTTCTTGTTGAGCTCAGACTCAGTGGTTTCTGTGTTGGGGGAAGGAGATGCATCAACATTTTGTTTCGCTCTCTTTAGCTTGTCAAATCTCTCAGCCTCTTCCTCTGACTGTCATTACTTTTCTCGCTCCTGGAAAACTGCTTAGACATTTAAAAAAAAAAAAAGGAAAAAAAAGGCAGATGCGTTACTATGACAACAACCTTGAGTCACGTCATTAGCTTCAGAAAAGCTGCAACACGGACCCATTCAAAGCATGTAAATGAACTTTTTGTATTTTCTTGTTGCCATTAAAGAAATATTTGCGGCAAACAGCACGCACCGCTGATTTCTCAGATGAGAAAAGTGTGTTGGTAAGGTCAGCACAGTTTGGCCTTGGTCTTCACACAGACTGGGATGAGGTGCATTGTTTTGTTTGGGGAATTCAGATAAGAGGAGCAACCTGGGAAAAAATGTTTCTGTGAGCTGGATTAGGTTTGCCTCGCTCATTACAGAGAATCCATTTCTCCCTGCTTGTCAACAGACTCTTGACCCCTCACATCTTCTGTTGCAGGTCCATCTCTTGAAGGACCAGCTGAGTGCAGAGGCCACGGCTCGGCTGGAGGCCCAGGCTCGCGTCCACCAGCTGCTCCTCCAGAACAAAGACCTGCTGCAGCACATCTCTCTGCTGGTTAAACAGATCCAGGAACTGGAGACCAAAATGTCTGGACCAAATTCCAGTGAGTGGACCTATAGACATGCATACTGTATCATACACTTTAGATAAATAGAGATGTTCTGATGATATAAAAGTGCTCACACATCTACTGAATGTACAGGGCAAGAGTAGACAGGTTGCACCGGGCAAGTGTGTAAATTGTGACCTGCATCAGCCTCTGCTGGCAGTCAGTAGGAAATGGGATGTAGTTTGTAGTTCTTGCTTGAGGAAAAGACACATCACCTAAAGCAAGATGTGTCAAGCATAAGGCCCGAGAGAAAAAATCAGCCTGGCAGAGACTTCAGTCTGTTTGACCGGACAGCTTTGGAAAATGTGATGCTCCCTCAACTTGTTCTGTAAATTTAGGCAATTATATCTCAGAGCTTACGCCCAAACAGCCGTAGCAACAGATTTCTGTTTTACTAGAGCACTATTTCTTTGTCTGACCTACTCAACATTAACATGGGCTGTAAGTGTGTGAACATAATGTGCAGTGCCTTTGACATCTCTGATCTGATAGGCTGCAAAAACACAGCACAAGGGAGCTTTTTGGTTTCAATTCGGTTTTGGCCCTTACACAAAATGTAACTTTAATTCTTTAACTATAACAAGGCAGACTCATCCTTCAGATGTGTCCATGAAAATAGTTCTTTGCATTACAGTATCTTATTAATGCATTAATTGCTGACGCTTCAGACTGCTGTGTTGTTCTTTGAGCTCAAGTCTTCGTTTTCATAAAGTTTCACTGATTATTTTTAACAGGCTTTGGATGTTTCTCACTGATAGAGAATAATCAGCATGCGCACACTGCAAACATATACTACAAAATAAGCATATTTAAGTTTCAATATAATTCTAAAATATATAGAGACCTTAAAGTATTTAACAATAGTTATAAAACGCAATATACATATAGAATGTAATAGGAAAAAAATGGTAAATGACCAGTTTTTCATTAAAACTGTCAAAGACTTTTATTCCCAGGAAGTAAAAGGAAGTAAAAGGTTCCTGCTTTTAGTCTGTTTCCGCTTTCTTTTAAAGACTTGATCTTTTAAAGACATTAGCTGGAGGGGGTTTATATTTATCTGGCCATGCACAATTTTACTTGCACATTATTTCATGTATTTTGTGGGCTATAGATCTAAATTATTTATTATATAGTTTTATATTATTTTTATATAGTATATATTTTTTCCAGTAAGTAAAGGAAATATTACGTTTTCAGGTATTGGAAGTGGGAATTTTCTTATTCCCAGTTAGAATTTTGATCTGGAAGGTTCCTTCTGATTCTTTACTCAGAAAGTCGGAGCAGCCCCACCAATCCTGAGTTAACAGTCCAAGATGGTGGCGGTAAACGGCAGTAAAACTGTAAACTGTGAGGCAGCAGTGCTAGCCACTGATCCACTGTGATTAAAAGACAAACATAAAATTAACACAGTAGTAATCTATATGATAAATAATAATTGTAATACCCCCATAGTTGATTCATTTTTACCCCTCAGCTGTAAAAGGCTCATAGGATATTGGCGCGTTAACTCAAGTTTGTGAATTCGATAACCTGAAAACGAGGCAACGTAGGATTTTCAAATTAACAGTATATGTTTATTTACTAAAGATCTTTTATTCTGTACTGCCACTGTTGTGTATGCACTCTTGTGACTCACAAAATAAGCCACATCCAGAGCACTGACCAGGCTCTGTCCATGAACGTGCTGCTGTGGTGTTCTTAAGCACAAAAAACATGCATTATGTTGTATTGTTAGTGATGCATAAATCGCTCTACCTTTCCAAAAGCCGAAGCAAATCCTGTTTTTCCTCACATTTCCAGCTATCCTACCAGAACGCACAAACTTACTCCTGATTTCCAGCATCCAAGAGATAACTGAAACGTGGCATTAGTCGCTGTTAAAAACTAAAAGCAAATCAATTTTACACCCAGTGCAAGCAGAGGTGGACCAGTTTAGTGTCAATGACATAGTCTAATACAAACAAACATGTTTCTGAATGTCTTGTCTTTTCTTCTCATATTTCACTGGAAAAAACTGGAGGAAAGTGTCAAAGGTCCTTTGATCATGCTGACTAGGTGATTGGTCAAAACAAGTCATGTCCTCTGATGTGTCTCCTTTATATCTACATTTCGATACAAGGTTTACAGTTGTAAATTGTTCTGTTTCAAGATAACATTATATCCCAGGCAGAAAACTGGGTGCCAAATAATTCCTTTCATTTAGACATTCATCTGTCCCTTGCCTCTAACAACGTTCCTGCTGTGGAAAAAAATTGTACAACCAAGGCAAAGAGAAACTCTACCAAGCAAATGATATGGGAAAAAGCTCAGCTGAATGAGCTGTGAGTGAGATATCTCACAGAACAGAGCTGTTCGGTCACACCAAAGGTGCCGTGACAAACAAGCAAATGTACAATGACAGTGACGAGAAAAAGTGAAAAATAGGCATGACGGAGGCAGAAAAAAGGCATTAGTAATTCTACATCACACTCTAGGTCAACACACATCACTGTCAGACATGCAGAGCAGACGTCCAGCAACACACGGCGCACAAAAGCATTAAAACGCAGACGTGTCCAGTATAAGATGTCCTTTCCATGTCTCCCCCCTCACTACCACACAATTTTAGTCATCCGTTTCATCTGCTGTTGAGACTGTGTGTGTGTGTGTGTGTGTTCCTGTCTAGCTATCTTTGTGAGGACCGAAATCTGCATTCTACTATACTTGTAAGAACCAACAGTAACTTGTGAGGACACACACACTGGTCCTCACAAGTTTGAAGGCTTTTTTGAGGCTCAAAATGTGGTTTTAGTGTCAGGGTTACAATTAGGTTATGGTTGGGTTTAGTTACCCTAGGGTTAGGGTTAGGCATTCGTTTTTAATGGTTAGGGTTAATGGGAAACCATTATGTCAATGAAGGTCCTCACTAAGTTAGCTTCTCCAGCAAATATGTGATGCCATCAGGTGAATATAGGTCAAAATCTCTAAGGAATAATCCCAACACCTGGCTGAATCCATGAAAAAAGTGATCCTCTTCAGAGCCTTCTGGCTGGGCAAAGGAGCAGCAGTGGCAGACAGTTCCTCTCAGTGTACTGAGCAGTTCAAGAGGTCCTTTATCCCACTGTAATAAGACTTTTTAAACACCCTCCGTGTGTGTCTGTGTGTGTGTGACAAAAAATACATCCCCTAAAAAACAAACCAAAAAAAATAAACAAACATATATGTAGCATAATCTAAAGCAGATTATACTGCAGAAGCAGTCTGAGAAGTTTTTGTAGATGTTTGATTGATGGAGTTGTGAGCCCAAACAAGCTACTGCTACTGTCCTCTGCCAAGGAGTGAGTGAGTCATCCTTCATGTTTGTTCTGGGTTGGTATTGAAGACGTCTTTCTTTAATGCATCTCTTTCTCACTGTTCCAGCTCCAGGTCTGTGCTGTGTGCCCGTGAAGAACCCTGCTAAACCTGTTTCACTGAGCAGTCGTGATGATGATGAAATGCTTTGAAACATGTTGTTTTTTCTCCTCTGCTTATGCTGTACGAGCATGCACTGATTTATTGGTCACAGAGTGATTTATTTTGCTGGGAGTTGTAATCTTATATTCACCACAATTCACAGATATGTATGTCACATACATTTTATCTTCTGCCTGCAAAGGTGATGGCAGATTCATTTCAATCAAGGCTCATTTTTAAAAGTGGTTGAAAACATTTTTATGTATCTCTGTTCTTCACTTTCCACCTTTTGCTTCACCTGAAATCTCCTTGCTTTATCTCCTCCATCCAGTGGGTTCCCAGGACAGTTTGTTGGAGATCACCTTCCGGTCTACAGTACCTCCGGTGATATGTGACCCCACGACACCTAAGCCTGAGGTGTCAGCCCTCAACCTGCACACATTTGGCAACAGCGACGGGACCAGCAATGCCTTCTCATCATCCAACGGGACTCTGGGAAGCCCACTAGGTAGGGACCAATGTCTACTCAAACTGGAGTGTTTCCGTTTCCTCCCGGGACCCCCGGGGCCTCCACCTCCTCGACTCCCCTCGCCTCCTCATCCGCTCAAGATTAACAGGCCAGAGATCAAAAGTCCAGAAGCGTCAGAGGGTCCAGTAAAGTCTTTGTCCTGCGACGTCAAATCTCTGGGCTGCCTGGAATTCACAAGGTTTCGCGAGTCGGGTATTGCCTCGGAGTACGAGTCAAACACGGACGACAGTGATGACAGGGAGGATGAGGATGAGGATGAGGGGGAGGATGAGGACGAGGAAGACATGGAGATTTTTGGATGGGGAACAGATCAGGAGACAGTGAGGCTACTTAATGTTCTCAACAGACAGGGAACTCCTGACTGCCTGGGAGATGAAATAGCGGTGTAACACTTTAACCTGCCCCACCCCCCCATCCGGAGAATCCTATGGTGGCTTGTTTTGTTCACTTACTTAAAACTGCTGTGTGAGAGAGACATATATTGGATGTACACAACTACATAATCAAGGCTAACGTGAATTTACCAATCATATTTTTTTTAACCTGGCAGATTAAAGTTATAAGCTGCCCTCTAAGGCACATTCAGCTTGAACTTGAATTGAATTTAAGATAACTATGGTGTCAGCTGTTTTTAGACGGACATAAGGCTTCTATGGGAAAACATAACCTTGTCCTGCATTCGAAGTCAGTACATTAAGTCACACTGGGGAAAACACTGCTGCCACGGTCTTTTGCCTCTGAAATGGTTGGCTTTAAGATGAGAGTAGGGCCTGCGATCATTCGTAGCGACTTGCCATTCTCAAAGCAACTTTTGGGTATCAAAACTGCAAAAACACTGAGTATGAGGTTAATTTGACCATTATGTGCAGTTTGGTCATAATGATGCTGCAGCAGTGTGAAAAGTTGCAAATCTGTTGTCCTCTACATAGAAATTCACAGGTTCGAGTCCGACCCACTGCACTTTCTTCTACTTTGCACATCTTCCTCTTCCTCTCCCTCCGCTTTCCTGTCACTCTTCACTGCTCTGTCCAATAAAGCAGAAAAAAGGCCAGAAATAAAATATTAATGAAATTCACACTAACTACTTGAATTCAGCTCATAAATTTGAAACACAAACTCAGAAATATGTCTGTGCAGTCAGAGTTGAACTGATGGGATGTCTTCCATCGGGACATGTGCTATCCCGATGGGATTAACAGTGGTGTCCCAGATGTAGAGGGCAGATAACTGATGGCTCTAAAACTGGACAACTCACAAGAAAACAGTCTAAATCAATTAATAAGGCCAGAGCATCAAATGTAAAAAGAAATCTAATTAAAATACTGTCCCTTTAAAAAAAGGACACATGTGGGCACAAACAAATTAATAGCAGAATGATGAATCAAAAATCATCGACAGCATGACATCAGAGAGGAGAGCAAACAAGAACATGCCAAACATTATAAATTTTAGGTTTGTCAAACTTATCATCCTCATACAGGAGGCAAAAAAACAAGTTCACACAGGGTAACAGGACATTTTATTAGCTAGAGGTTATCACAAATCAGCTGTAAGCAAATAAAGTTTGATTATAGATAATTTGCTTCTAGTTCAGGCTGAATTCGCCTTAAGAATAATAATCTGAGTTGGTCACGTACCCTTGGAAAACAAGAGTTTGAGCCTAATCTGTATGCACACTCATGCATATAGGGAAGGGTATTGACAAGATTTTCATGATTCCGATTCCATTTTCGATTCTGTTTAAAAATTCGATTCTTTATCAATTCTCTTGTCGATTCTTTTTTAAAAAGGAGAACACTAAGGTCGATCGGCTTAGAACTTTGTTTTATATCTTCTCTTTGAACAAGATAGAAATTTAGGAGTAACATGGCCTTACAAACCCAACAGTGAGATCTTAAGAGATCCACAGCCTACGGCTCTTCAATGGGGTGTCACAGGGTCCCCAGGAAAAAACCTTGTAAATGTAAAATAATAAAATAAATATTCTTCTGTAGCAATAACAAAGTATAACATAAATTATTCAGTAGCAATTACACAAGAATATCCAGTAATGTCCCTGCTGACAATTAAACACATTCACTTACCGAAAATTGGAGGCATCTGCTGTGGCAAATGGGTGCAAGCCTTTGACCACAAACTTAGTCACTGCTCGGTGACATTCGTCTATCCTGGCCTGAAAGGAGACGCTACCGGTAGACTGCAGCGAGAACTGGCAGCATCTGAGCCAGACTCTGTCTGTCTCATCATGGTCGCCTAAATGCACAGTAATGGCAGGTTTTGTAATAAGGCAGATCGCGCTAACATAATATGCACTGTTAGTTGATTATTTACCTGCCGCATTAACGGGAGAGGACGTGCAAACGTTACCGCTGCTGCTGGGCTGAAATTCACGAGTCCGGAGCGGAATTAAAAACACGACATTCATTTAAGGTTATCGTGTGTTTTGTGAGCAAATGCTTTTGCATATTCGTAGTGTTTCCTCCCTTAAATGAAATATCTACTTTGCAAGTATTGCAAGTTGCCCTGTTGTCATCCGTTCTCCTAAAGTATAACCAAACTTTTGAGCGTTTGAGCTGCTTAGGCACCGTGTTTCCTGCCAGGTAAATGACACTCCGCAACGTGGTGACGTGATTCGGGGCGACTGGAATCGATAACGGAATCGTTTGCAAAAATGGCAAACAACTCCAAGGAATTGAAACAGTGGGAACCGGTTCTCAACAAGAACTGGGTTTCGATACCCATCCCTACATGTATATTCTCTTATTTCTCTGAATCTGTTGCTCCTGTTTGCTTCCTTTTGTTTCCTGTTTTTTCATGACACACAGGCGTCCATCTATCAGACACACTCATCAGATTCAGACTCTTAAGTTTTCCCCTTTGGGTAAATTGAAGTTGTGATTCTGCGTGTACGCTGATGGTGTCATGGGGCTGTCAGGGTGTAACAGGAAATCAATCACTTAGCAAATGGAAGTTGTTTGAAAATGTACATATACAATAACTCCTTAAGGTTAGTTCAGGGGCAAGTGCTCACTCTGTCAACACGGACGGAGTAGCGATCATTCACGCTGACAGGAACAAGACAGAAGTGTTCGGGACTAAAGACACCTGAGACTGACACGCTCTCGTCACAGCTGGAGTGAAAAGCGACTCTTCCTGCGATGAAGCACGAACAGTTGGGTCTAACTTTTGGAGGGACTTTGTTAATTTGGAAAGGGAAAGTCCTTTCTTCCTCTGTTCATAATTAATCAAAGACTATTTTTAGACAGAAATCTCTATCTACCTGTACAAACTTTGTTTTCTACACAGAAACTGTTGGAACTGCTCCATCCTTGACCCTCTTTTTTGTCTCTCACTGTTTGTCAACTTGGTAGTCAGAGCATGTTTGCACTCTTTTCAGCTGTCCACGCACATATCTTCCCACTTTTTAATTTATGTAAAGCTGGGATTAGTTGGACCTCGAGGAACGCTGTTTGTTTCTTTTATTCATCTGGTAAACAAAACCTCTTCCCGCGTGCCAGAACAGCGGCTCGCGGATGACAGCCAAGAGCGGTCCCGTTTGTTTTAACCCAGCTCTGTGTACCGGCCTCCAGGCACGAGTCAATATTAAAGCATTCGTTTTGTTTCGTGGGGAAAGCTACAGAGTTTTCATTTTTGTGTACCGTAGCCATAGTTTAACAGGACAGCCCTTCGCTCAGATCAGCGCAGACAGTCGTCCTTGGCAAAGGTAGACCCTGCAGAGATTTGAAGAGGAAGTGAGCCAAATCTCTAAGTGCTCAATATCTTTTTGCAAGAGCTTTAGTCAGATTGGATTAAACCAGTAAACTGCCAGCCACTTGCCATCTGATTGTGTTTGTATTAAAAGATAACAAAGATCCTATCTGCTGTTTGTCTAAAGTTTGTTTGGATATTCGTGCCAAAGTGGTCGCACATGAGAACTAACTAGTGTTACCAGTAAAGAATATGGAGGCCAGCTATAATTAGTCAACAGCATAGGTTTTCTCTGGCTTGACTTAAAATTGATCCAAAAGCTCTAAATTACATTTCTAGACATATAGAACCGTTCTTAATTTCTGCGCTGAGACAATTACGGAAGATGAAAGCAAAAGAAAAAGTCACTAATACTGAAATAAGCAAATGGAGCTAATAGTTATACAGTCAGCACAAGAGCATACTGGCAAGCAGTCTAATCTGTTATCACAAAGACGAAGCACTTGATAGGCGAATGAGTAAATAATGTAGATCTGGTCGTCCTTCAGTCAGAAACGCGATGTGAGGAGTCCTGACCAAGGTGAAACAGAGGGACACCACATAAATCAATAAGTAGCGTTAATATAACTGTTGATTTTTCGATAGCCTACCTTTACCGGTTTGTTCAGTGTGGAAAGCAGAGGTGCCAGCCAGCTACTAGTTTATGATTCACAGAAATGCCCGTGCCTTCTGCAATTCCCAGACATCTCAATCAGCTCTATACTGCTGTATAAATCGGTGGATCTTGATAGACAAGTTCCAGTTTAGGCATAAGGTTTATACCCGGTTACAGGGAAAAGCAGGTTTAAACCTAGATGGTCCCGAAACAACAGCAAGTTATACCTTAGGACCAGAGTTGTAGACAAGTATCTTAGTCCCATCTGTCGTCGACTTGACAGATCCAAACAGACTGAAAACACAGCAGAAAAATAATGTGCTATTAGTTGTTAAGCAGCAATGGCTTTAAAAAAGAGAATCAATAATTCTTCACCTTGGGTAGATTTTGAAATATGCTCCTCAACAGCAATCATGCATGTTAAAAAAGAAAGGGTACTTGATGGGAATTGTAGTAGCAAAACAACCATGTTTGAATGAAGCAAAGACCTGCATCTACTGGTGAACAGAAGAACTACAGTTCGGGCAAGTTGCACGCTTGGATTTCCATATTGATATTTTCCATTCACAACAGAAAGAAGCACTTCCAATATTCCAGCTCTAAGAATTCCCAATAGTGTACTCTTAAACTTCTTTGAAGTGCTTGCTTTTCTTTTGACTGTTGGAGCAGTCGGCTAAGGCGTCAGATCAAACCAGCAACACTGTGGTGTATGTCCTCTGATCGAAACCTTATCCTTCACATTGTCTTTTTTATCCCTCTTTCCTTATGTTGTGTCTCTCTTTTCCCCTGCTGTCTTTTGTACGTGTTCATTTAAATAGTTTAAATCTTCACGAGTGGTTGAGCGCATGGCACAGGGGTGCAGATGCCTTCAGCGATCAGTCCCTCATTGAATTCCCGGCTGTCTAGACATTTGCTGCTGCTAATGTCTCATAGTCTCTTTCACTATTCTACTCCCTCTCCCCATTGTCGCTATGTAATTAAAGCAGAAATGCCCAGAAAAACCCCCACACACACGTTTAAGTCACATTTCAGCTTTTGATGCAATCACCGTCAGATAATGCAGTCATTTAAATATAATTAGAGGGCGCTTAATATCGACCAAAGACAAATTCAGACCTGTTGTGATAAATCATCAGTTAAAGCTCTGCACTGATATTATGGTGATTTAAAAAGATGACCTTACCTCATGATTCAGGTATTCATTTTAATCAAAGAATGTGTCTGGTCATTAAGACCGAAATTACCTCGGTGTCAGGCTCATTCGCATTCTTTGGCTTATGCAGAGGAAGATTATGTGAAAGCCTTAGACAAGGTATTCCAGGAGGCCAAGCATTATGTGACTTGAATTACACAAAACTAGCTTTTTTTTTGGCAACTTTATCTGTTTGCACTACTTCTCAAATTCTTATTGTTGATTATATAAAAAGTTGTATTTTTTTTTCTGTTTATATATAAAAACACTAAGGGCAAGATCATTAGGTTGTGAAAATAACTTGAGTTTAGCATCTTGATCTGCCCAGTCGATTTGTCACATAATTTCACTAATGTGTGACCAGGTAAACAAATTATACACTACTTTAAACACAGCTTCCAGTCTGTAAATCTAACCATCCTCCCATACCCTCAGTTAGTGAACGGGTGCATCAGTGCTGTAGGCAAGTTGTGTGAAATACAAGCAAAGCTAAATTCAAAGGACTGTTCAGAAGACAAGGGGCAAAAAAGATCCTCAAATCAAAATATTTTCCTTTTTTTTTCAGTAGTAGTAGTAGTATTAGTATTTATTTATTGTCATTGTCAAGAACAATGAAATTGCGTTTGGGGCTTCCATAC